CGCCCCCGCCCGCCGAGCCAGCCGCCGGCCACTTGCGCGGCCTCCGAGGGCCGCACGGCGCGTGCCTCCGCCGACTCGTCGGTCCGCGGCGAGACATGGCCGCGCCGGTGCACCCTGCGTGTCACCGCGGAGGGCAGGCCCGGCGCGCAGGGGGGGGGGGGGGGGGGCCGGTGTCCAGGTACCCCGTGCCAGGCCAATTACGAGGGAGGTCCCCGCCGGCAGGGCCCGCCGGGGCCACGCTCAAAGGACCGCCCGGCGGGCATGCCTCGTCTCTCTGCCCCTCGGGTAGCTGGGCTGCCCCCCTCAGGTGCCCGCGCTATTGGGTGCTTCCCGAAAGGCGGGGCGGCGCTCCGGCGATTGAGGGGCGTCCCCGGCGCGGCCGCGCCCGACAAGCGGCCCGCCACAACTACGAGGACCGCCCCGCCGGGGGTGTTACCCTGGGTGATCCGGCGGACACCGGGCGGGGCCGGGGGGCTGGCGGGCCGAGGCAAGGCGGGCGGGGCGTCCCCGGGGTTTTTTTTTCTCTCGCGCACGCATGCCTCGCACGCGTCACCCACGACGGGGGCTGGATATCGTATCGGGGGACACAGGGAGGCCCGACAAGCTGCAGTGTGTGTGTGTGTGGCCCCTTTCCCAACGCGCCCCTGCCCGTCTCTCCGTCTCCTTTGTGGTGGCCCTCCGCCAGGCGGCCCGCAGCAAAGGGGCCAGAGCCGCTGACACAAATAACGCCAACAATATTAAGATCCCTTTTCCGGCTCCTTGGCCGCACATCCGGCACACAGCCGGGCCAAGTGAGTGTGTCTGTGTGTCTGTGTGGTGCACACATCGGTACAAGACCCACCCCACACAGCCGGGAGGCTGGAAGGGCGGCCAGGACCCCTTCTCGCACCCAGTGGTGTGGGATTCCAGCCGCGCCGGCCCCTCGCCAAATGGGGTCGTGTGAAATCCGCGCCCTTCGAAAGGAGCCGCCGAGCGAACGGGAACGGCCACGCCGTCCGCTCGCCTGGTTCTCTCCCCCCCCCCCCCCGCCCCGCCGGCCCGCCGCCCTCGGGCCCCTCTGCCAGGGCCCGGCCCCTCCCCGGCAAGGGGCATCCAGGGTTGGCGCTGGGTGGGAGGAATGTTTTGACCGGACCGGTGCGCCGTATCCAACGGCCGTCCGGGCGCCCTCATTCGGGCCGGCGAGGGGGAACCCTCCCTCCCCGTGCACCCTGCAGAGTGATATTTCACTTCACCGGGGGCGGGGACATTTTGCTCCGCCATCTTCGCCGCCAGCCCCTCCGGACGGGCTCGGCACCTCTCGCGCCCCTCCGGCCCGCTCTGCCTCTGTGCCTCCCTCTCGCTCTTTGTCTGCCCCCCTGCCCCCCGGCCCCTCCCCCTGCATGCTTTGGGCCCCGCCCGGGGACTGCCCTTGCCCTTCCCGCCTCCGGTCTTGGTGGATTCGGCTTTGTGACTGGCCGAGGAGACCTTCCGGGAACCCGCCCATGCTGCGACTACGGGGCTCCCTGTTCCAAGGGCCAGCTGGAATGTAACGGTCCGGGGGGCCGGCAGGCCGGGGGGGCTGGGGAATGCGCCTGCGCCTGGGAGGCCGTTCCCCCCGCGCCCTTCGCCTCCATGGTCCCCCTCTCCCCCCGGACTCTCTCTCTCTCTCTCTCTCTCTTGTCCCCTTCATTGCCTGATTGTTCCTTGCCCCAGTTCTCGCTGATTTCCCCCTCCAAGGCGTTCCTAACGGACATGCCCCCGCCGCCCCGAGGGGCCTGGGCGGGGCGTGTGGTCCCTTTCCACGGATTCGCCCGGGGTCTCTGGGGAATTCCGACGAGCCTGCGCTGGCTTGGGAGCGCAATGCCCCATACACGCCTGCATGAGAGGACGCCCGGAGTGTGCGCCTTCTCCCCGCCTCCCTCGGCTCAAAGAATGCGCCACATCACCGCTTTCCGGCGCATCCCCCGCCCATGAGCCCAGCGAAAATACTCCGCTGACGGGCCTTCCTGTAGTGCTTGTTCCCCCCCCCCCTGGCACCGGTTCATCTCTCTCCCCCCCCCCCTCTCCCTCTCTCTCTCTCTCTCTCTCTCTCTCTCTCTCGCACATGCACTCGCACCTGGCGCGGGAAACGAGACCCCTCGCGCCCGCGAGCGGAAAATAACCCTCCAGACTCTCGGTTGACAGCAGCGCGCCGCCCCCCCCCCCCCCCCCCCCCCCCCCCCCCCCCCCCCCCCCCCCCCCCCCCCCCCCCCAGCCCCCGCCCTGGGAACCACCTCACCCAACCCTGACACGGCCGCCCCAGCATCACGAGCGCTCGATCGCCGTCACAGCATGGCCGCGCCTTCATCGGCATTGTCGCCACCGGACCACCACCGATCCTTGTCCCTCTCTCAGGCTAATGTCCCGCCTTCCCCCTGCAGGCAGCCGGTTTGGCCGCAGGGCAGCCAGGCTCCCTCTGCCTAACAACGCCCCCTCGTTCCTCGGTCTTCCTTTTTGCCCGGGCGCCCCTCCGCCGGGAGCTGCCACCCCCCGAGACGGGGAACGAGTTCTTCGGGGGACGGGGGGACATTGCCAACGCCCATCCCCCTCCTCTCCCAGGAGGGCGCCCTCGGCACACGTCCGGCGACGGTGCAGAAACGTGCTCCGCTCAAGCGCCCGAGAACACCATTCAACAACGCGGAGCTTCTGCCGAAATCCAGATATCCAGCACAGAATATAATTGTATTATCTCGAATGCTCGGCATTGTTCGCGCCTTTTCTCTTTCTCTCGCTCTCTCGTCCAAGCTCTCCCTTTTTGCGGGGGGTACATCACGCGCGCGCGCGCGCGCGCGCGTTTTTCTCCACCGCACGCCGGCCTGCGAGGTGTTATCATCGTTATTCTCGCACACCACCGCGCGCGGCAGGGGGGGAGGGCCAGGGGGGAAACACCCAGGGCGCCGGACAGAGGCGGCGGGGTTGGGCGGAGGGGCCGGGAGGGGGGGGGGGGAGGAAATGTGGGGAGGTTGGATGTACACATGGCGGGGCACACGCTTTCCAGCGCGCCACCGGCCAGGGGCACGCCCTCTCTCCGACAGGCGCGTACCGAGGCCCCGCACACCGTGTGCAAGGGGGGCATCCGCTTCCCTGTGGCAAGGGCGGTGCATGCCTCTCTCTCTCGCTCTCTCTGGCCCGCCCCCCCCCTCTCCGCGCCTCTCTCTCCTGCCGCCGTGGCCCAACGCGCGTCTACCACCTCGCGCCTTCACATCAGACGGGAGCCCTCTTTCTGCGCCTCTCTTTCTCGGTCGCTCTCTTGCTCTCTCGCGCCCCAGGCTGACCGCTCGTCCATCCGCCCCCCCCCCTCTCCCGCCCGGTGGCGCGCAGGACATACGCACACACACACACACTACTGCTTGGCGGTGCTGCTGCGGCCCCCGGTGACGGCGCGCACCACCAGCTCGGCCAGCGGCACACTCGAGTCGTCCGAGGAGTTGTTGGACGACACGGCACCCCCGGACGCCGCGGCTGCGGCCTCCTTCGACAGGAAGGTCACCTTCTTGTGCGATGGCTGGGGGGTGGTCGACTTGGCCGATGGACCCTGCTTGGCATTGGCCTTGGTGGCGGCGGAGGAGGCGGCGGCGGTGGCGTCCGAGGAGGAGGCAGCAGCTGCCGCGGCGGCGGCGGCCGCCGCCGCCCGACGCGCCGACCGACGCATGGGAGCCTTGCCGCCGGCGGCGGCCGCGGCCAAATGGTCACCCCCGGTGATGGCCGAATCGCCCCCGACGGAGCCGCTGCTGCCCGGGCCGCCACCGGCGCTCAGGCTGTCCTCGGAGGAGAAGGAGGAGGACCCGGACGCGCGGGAGTCCTCACTGGGGAAGAAGCGCGCCACGCGGGGCTCCTCCGGGCCGTCGCCGGGTGCCGCCCCCGCGGGCCTGCCCCACAATTCCGGATTCTCGCGCATCTTCTTTTCCAAATACGACTGGCGCGGTGGCGAGGTGTCCAGGCCCTCGATGATCTCCACCGGCTGGACCGCCTGGCTGCCGGACGAGAGGATGCTGTAGTGGATCATCGGCCGGGCCAGGTTCATGCTGTCCAGCTGCAGGTTGAAGTACTCGCCCTCGGGCAGGTCGCGCGGGCTGCCGATCTCCACCTCGGTTCCGCGCAATGTCGAGGACCACTCGTCGCCGACATTGATGGAAAGGTTGCGCCGGTTGGCCGCCACCCCCGGGGCACAGTGCAGGAACCGCTCATCCAGCGGCCCGGCCGGCACGGTGCCGCTCTCGGACGTGATGAACGACGACCGGCCTTGCATCGGCACCGGACACAGCTCCGGATCGATGAACAGATCCTCCTTGTGGCCGGACACCATCTGCGTGGTGTGGTTGCAGCTCATCCGGCAGATGGCCACCTGGTGGGCATCCTCATCCTCCCGCAGGTCGAAGAGGCCGCCGCCTGTGCCCGTGCCGCTGCCGGCCGCCGGCTCCCGGCGCAGGCGGGCCGCCTGCTCCCCCGGCGCCGCCGACGCAGCAGGGCCGCGGCCATCTCCCCCCAGGGCCGTCGAGGCGGCGTCCATGCCGGCCGCGTGCCGGCTGGAGGTGCTGCCGGACCCGCTGCCAGTGCCGGAGGAGTCGTCCGGCCCGAAGCTCAGCAGGTCGCTCATGGAGGCGTCCGAGCGCAGGCGCGCGGAGATGGTGTAGTCGATGCTCGCGCTGCGGGTGCCGCCGTCCCGGGGGTGGGAGGAGCCCGACGCCAAGCGCGACGGCCCGCCCCCACCACGCCCAGCGCCGGCCGCCTCGCCGGCGGCCATCGTCATGTGCCCCGCCGAGTGCCGAGAGCCGCTCACGCCCGACGCCGAATAGTGGCGATGGTGGTGGCTGTGGTGCTGCTGCTGCTGCTGCTGCTGCTCGGCCCCCGACGGCATCGAGTGAAGACGCTCCTCGCGGCGGGCCCGGACCGCATCCACCAGGGGCGGGTCATCGAGCTCCTGCGACCGGTACCGGCCGTAGAGCTGGGCATTTCCGGGCCGGGAGTGCTCCAGACGCCGGTGCGGCTCATGGTGATGGTCGTGCTGGTGCTGGCGCGAATGATGGTGGCCCTGCCGCCAGGAGGACACATGGCCCCGGCCACCCTCCTCCAGGGAGGCATGCTCCTCCTCCTCCTCCTCCTCCTCTTGATCGAAGAAATCCTGCCGGCGGGCGGTGTACCCGAGCCAGTCACTCAGCCGGTCCGGGATGGACCAGAGGCTTTGCAAAAAGGACGGCCCACTGTCGGCCTCGGAGGCCGAGGCATTCAGCCCGTCGGAGGAGGAGCCCCGCGACGGGCCGCCCATACGCGGCTGGTGGTAGTGATGGGCGCCGTACATCATCTGGTGGGTCAGATCGTCGGTCGTGGAGAAGTGCGAGTCCGCCGCCGACAACGCGATCGAATGTTCGCTGGCTGAAGATGGCACCTCCTGATGGGCATGGCGGTGGTGGGGGTGGTGCTGGTGGCGGCGATGATGGCCGTGCTGCTCGCCGGGTCCCGAGGTGGTGTCCTGATCGCGCGAGGTAAACCAGTACGTCACGCCGTTTGCGAAGTCCGGCCGGGGCTGGCCGGCTGTGCATTGCGCGCGCGTGCGGCGCGCGTGTGGGGGGACAATTCCAAGGGGCGAGTCAGTTCAAGGGCCGAGAAAAAAAAAGGGCACCTACTCTCGCACTCCGGTGCGGGGAGAGGAGGGAGGGGAAGCCCATCATGGGTTTCTCCTCCGTCGGATCCCGGGCAGCTCGCGCCGGGGTTGCCCGCTGTTGGTCTCCCCTGTGCGACCTTTCGGCTATTGCTTGTCGCCCTTTGGCTGCTCCTCTCTCTCTTTCTCTCTCTCTCTCTCTCTCGGTGGCTCTATCTTTGCATTCGCCCCCATCTCCACGCCTCGTTCCCCGGAGTGGCGTCGGTTGGAATCCCGCGGCTTGGATGGTTCACAGGCTGCATCGGGACAATGTGCTCCTCCCCCAGGCCCCTCCCCTGCGCATGTCCCCTCCCCCTTCGCCTTTCGAGGGGGGGAGGAGGAGGGTGTCGTCTCGGGGATCTCTCTCTCTCTCTCTCTCTCTCTCTCTCGATGAATGTCCATTTCTCTCCACCAGGCGCAAAGGGAGGGGGACGGGAAAAAAAGAGCGAAAACATGTGCCCCAGGAGACGCTGGTGCTCTTCGGCCCTTTCTTGGGGGACCAACGTATCGCACTGGGACGCGAGGCAGATGCGCGCGAGAGGACGGCGCAGCAATTGCAGGCTCCGGTGCGCTCGCGGCAGGTGCCAGTCTCTCCCTCCCCGGCCCCCCCCCCATGCAGCGGCGGAGCACAGCCATTCCTCCTCCTTCCCGGTCCCGCCCCCTCCCTGGCCGGCAAACCAGAGCATTCACACACACACACACACGAGAGCACCAGGCCCCGAGCGTGCTACCGCCGTTGATGCCGGGGGCGACGCGTACCAACAGAAGCCACATGGCCGGGCCGGCGGCCCTGCTGGGTGATCCCCGTATCCAGGGCCTCCTTCCGGTCGAGGCGGGGCGATAGCGGCTCCGGAGACCGGGGGCCGTCCACGGGGGAGGCGGCTCCCGAAGCGGTTCCATGGGCTTCCCAACTCCGATCGATGTTGCGCCAGTTCTCGTCGTCGGCATACTTGCCGGGGCTGCGAGGACCACCACCACCACCACCACCGCTGGTGGCCGCCATCTGCCGCGGGGGCGAGGAAAGCAAGCTCGAAAGGCGCTCGGCCGGCCGGGACCGGAGCCGGTCGTCGAACCACTGGCCCGGCTTGCTGGCGCTGACCGATGACGGCAGGCTGGCCGCCCCCTCGGGCCGGCGGCGGCGGTAGCTGGCCGACCGGTCGGCATACCGGGCCTCGGTCGTGGCGGCCGGGGCATCGCGTCCGGCCGTCACCCGGACACTGAAGTCCCGGAGGCCCGTCAGCCCGGACAGGCCGAAGAGGCTGCTGGCCCCGGGCCCGGCCCAGGAGACCAGGGACGTGTACGCCGCGCGGAGGACCGTCCGGCAGATGATCAAGAACCAGCCGAAGTTCAGGGCGAAGTGCGCCACGGCCAGGCCACTCAGAGTGAGGGCCGTCCACCGGTGTGGCCGAGTGAGGCCGCGGCTGAGGCTGGCCTCGCGCGGCGGCAGGACCAGCGCCTGCAGGCAGTTGACCATGATGTGGAGGAGATTGCGCCCGCCGCTGAGGATGCGCACCGTGAAGAACATCACGGCGAACAGCAGGTCGGCCGTCACCTTGGCCCGGTGGAGCAGCGCATTGAAGGCCCGGACCGAGCGCCGGTGCCGGCTCCAAATGACGGACTTTTGCTCCTCGGTGAACTGGTTCCACCGGCCGTCATCCAGGCGCTCGATGGAGTCGATGTGGCCGCCCGGGGCTTCGGCATGGGCGGCCGCCAGGGCCGCCCCGGCGCCATGGCCACTGTGCAGGGCGGCCACCGTGCGCCCATCGACCAGCACCGGCCGGAGGGCCGGCTGCCCGGGATACATCACGCCATCCGGGGCCAGGACCGACTCCTGGCTCAGCCGGGCCAGGGCCGGCGCGTAGTCCGACACCTGGGCCAGGGCCGGCCGCCACTGGTCGCGAATGAACTCGCGCTCCTCGCGCTCGAAGCGCGCCTGGTTGTACTCCTTCAGCCGGCGGATGAACCACCGGGTGTGGAAGAAGGGGGTGGTGCTCTCGGTGATGAGCAGCGAGCAGACATGTGCCCGGCCCAGGCCGCTGACCATCGACAGGACGAAGGCCATGGCGCAGCCGATGTGGTGCAGGGTCATGGCCGTGTCGCCCCCGGTCCAGGGCCGGATCCGGGCCATGTGCAGCGAGTCATAGATCATGTAGCCGCAGCTGGCGGCCAGGGTGAGAACATGCAGGGGGGTGGCACCGAAGGCTGTTTTGCCGCCGCCGGTGCACACGCATGGGCGGGCACAGTCCATGGTGTGTGGGTGGTTCGCGATGTGCGGCGCGTGCGGGGTCAGTGGTCTTTGTCGGACGGCACGGGGGTGGGCCATCCCCCGGCGCTTGTTCCGGGGAATGGCGAAGTCCAGCAGGCCCACAGGGCTGGGTCCCCGCCCTGCCCCCCCCCCCCTCCAACCCAGCCGGACGACCAAAAGCCAAAAGCATCCCCTCCCCCCCGCCGGGAGGGAGGCCGGGTGGGCAGAACGAGCGCGAAAGGAATGAGCAGGCCCGACGACCCGGGACCAGGGGCACCGCACGCACTGTAGTAGCCCAGCTGGTATTCCGGGCTGCCGTGGCGCAGGACCGCCTCGTCGGCGCGAATGCACGCCAGGGAGAGGGTGGTGCTGATGACCGCATGGATGATGCTGACCACCCGCCCATCCCAGTCCTCGCGGAAGGCGTCCACCGCGCGGGCCAGGTCCTGGCTTCGATGGGCGGCGGCCGACATGGCCGTGTCCGAGCCGCCATGGTCCGGGGCCTGGTGCTGGCGGCGCGTATAGGCAATGGCACTGCGCTCGGCATAGTCGTTGCGAATGCCGGCCCCAATCCACCGGGAGTTGGAGCGCCGGACCTGGTTGGCCAGCCACCGGTAGAAGAAGAAGGCCGCCAGGCAAACGATCCCCGGCACGACCAGCCCATTCCAGCGGCTGTAATGCTGGCGCAGGCTCTTCTTGGCTTCCGAGGTGTAGAGGACATTCTGTGCGTCGGCCGACCACATGACCCGGCGGTGGGCGTCGTCCCCGAGCACCGGGCTCGGGACCACCCGGCGAACGATGTGGCTGTGCGGCTCGTCACCGGCGGCCCGCTGGGCATGTCCATCATCATGGTGCGGTGCCGGCCGATGGGCGGCCTGCTTGCCATCGGCCTTGGCGTATTCGTGCGTGGTGCGAGATGCCCCGGTGCCGCCAGCACCGGGCCCGGCGGCGCGGCGGTACGCGCGGAACCACTGGCGAGCCGGCTCGGGCCCCGTGTCGCCGCGCAAATCGCTCAGCTTGGCATCCCAATTGATGTTCATGGACCGGCTGCCGGGCTGGCCGGCCTGCCGGCCGGTGCCGGCACCGGCCATGCGCGCATACGACCACCCGCCCGAGGGGCCCTTTTGCAAGTCCCACCCGGCCACGCGGCCGGACCGGCTGGCCGCCGGAGCCTGCTGCTGGCGCTGGCGCTCCTCGGCCTGGAGCTTCTGATGGATCTGGGTCGATGACAGGGGCACGGCCGAGCCACCGATGGCCGGGCGAGCGCCCCCGATGCTGGCCTTGTCGGACTGGCGCTCCAGCGTGGCGATGTTCGGCGGGACCAGCGTGCTCACGGTGGAGGTCTTGGTGACGGTGGTCGTGGTGATGGTGGTAATCCGGTCGCCATCGGGGGTGCTGGTGATTTCCTCGCGCACGGTCTTCACCGGGTCGCTGATGTGCACCTCGCCGGTGGTGGTGCCGGTGCTGTAGGATGCCCCGGCTGGCAGGGTAATGGCCCCGACCGGGGGGGCCGACGAGAGGCGAACCGGCTGCCGGGCTAGGGCGGTGGTGGCCGCAAGAGCCAGCGCCGCCAGCATCGTCGCCAACAGCAGCCGCCGGAGCAAATCCCGCGCCGAGGGCCTCATGGTGGACCTGGGGGGTGGTGACGACCCGGTGTCGGTGCCCAACATGGAGCCGATACATGTGTGTGTGTGTGTGTGTGTGTGTGTGCGATGTGTGTGTGTGTGTGTGTGTGTATGTTGGTGCAATGGAGATGAGGGCGGTGGGAATCCGGAGGCACAGGCACAGTGTTAGCACGGCGGGCGATGGTAATGCATGGTTGTCATGGTCCGGCACAGCGAGGCAGGGGGGTGATGCCATGCGTACGGGGAGTGGTCGACGGGGGGAAGAATCTGCCAGGCAACAGGAGCAGGGATGGCGGGGCGCAATGCAGTATGTCAGAGAGGCGGCGGGGGCACAAGGGGCAGGGCGCCCGGTCGGGAGGCCAGGCAAAGTTATGCAAGATAGCAGACAGCAGATCGGCAGGAGAGCAGGAGCCGAGGGCTTCCTCCCGGACGCCTGGCCTCCTTGCTGTCTCTCTCTCTCTCTCTCTCTCTCTCTCTCGAGTGGCAGGATACTCCCGGAACAGGGTGAGGCTGCAAAATTCGGCACAATTCCCCGCGGAGGTGCCAGGCGGAAGGGTGGTGGGAATGCGCGAGAGGTACATGTCGGGCTGTGTGTGTGAAAGCGAACGGGCGAAGGAGAATGGAAAGGGGACAGAGTGTCCAATGGCGGAGGAGGGAATGACATGTGCATGGGGCACCAGTGGCCGGAGGCATGCCGGCCGAAAAAAGGTGTGCACACCCATTCCCCCTGGGCCGCCGGCTGCATGGGCCTGCAACCGCCACGGGCCGCGCTGCCTCTCCCGCCATCAAGCCCACCCCCGCGTACTTGCCGCGGGATGTGCAAGCGGCGGGGGGCCTGCACCCGGGAGTGCAGATTGCCGAGACCAGGCTGCTCCCACTCCCCTGGCCTGCCCCTGGCCGGGCTGCCCTTCCATCGTCGGCCGACATGCCGGCCCTGGGTGCTTGGCACCGGGCGCATGGCTCTCCCGCTGCTTACTCTCCTGCCCTCGTCGCCCACGACGCTCTTCCGATCTTGTGCAAGCGGCGGGGGGCCTGCACCCGGGAGTGCAGATTGCCGAGACCAGGCTGCTCCCACTCCCCTGGCCTGCCCCTGGCCGGGCTGCCCTTCCATCGTCGGCCGACATGCCGGCCCTGGGTGCTTGGCACCGGGCGCATGGCTCTCCCGCTGCTTACTCTCCTGCCCTCGTCGCCTCCCCCACCTGCTCCGCTACAGTCTAGCTGTCGCGCTCTAAGCTGCTGCTGCCAGAGGTGCTCACATGGTGCCTTAGTGCAGCCCCGGGGGGTTTCTGGAGTGTCTACAGTGGCTGCCGCGACCATGGGCCTTGCTGCCCATGCCAGAAATGGGCAGGAGCCTGGCGGTCTGTCTGGAGGCTCTCGGAGATCGGAAGAGCACACGTGCTGCTGCTGCCAGAGGTGCTCACATGGTGCCTTAGTGCAGCCCCGGGGGGTTTCTGGAGTGTCTACAGTGGCTGCCGCGACCATGGGCCTTGCTGCCCATGCCAGAAATGGGCAGGAGCCTGGCGGTCTGTCTGGAGGCTCTCGGATGGGGGAGAGGGAGGAGGGGGAGTGCATCGCGCAGCGTTCACCGGGAGCGTTGGCTCGTCAATTCCGAGGCGAAGGCCGACACAGCCGATGAGGCCGTAGGCCCCCTCCGGCCGGGCACCTCTGCCAGCAACGTACACCCGTGAGGATCACACAGCCACACAGACCCGAAGGCATGGGGCCCCGGCGAGCGATAATCTTCAAGGCCTTGCATAATCCCCCACACGTGAAAGTCCCGAAGAAATAAATAAGAAATGAGGAACCCTTCGTGCGGATATATCGGCGGGGTCCCCCGTGCCCCGGGCGTGAGGGCATGCCGAAAAAGTTCAACGCCTCTTGGGGCATTTCTCGCCCACGATCCGGGGAAGAGGCGCACGCGGGGCAAAGGCCCAGCTCCAGGCGGCGAGTCCAATGCGAACCCCACAATCGAATAAAAAACACCCCGCCACAGCCGGCCTCGCCGCTCCCCCCTCCGCCAGACCGCGGCAAGCCACGGCCCACAATGATTTCGGCTAAACCCACACACACCGAGCGAACACCATTCCGCTGTTGTCGCGTCACAGCGCAGGTGGATCGAATCTCGGTTTATTAAATATACGTCACGTGTCCAAATTGAACTGGGGCGGGAAATCCGACCAGCCGGGTTAAGCTCTTGGCAGTCTCCCCTGCCCCAGGCCCTGGAGCACTTCCTGCCGGCGGCGCCCCTGCCTCCGGGGGGCGATGCCGGCCTGGGGGGTCCCCCCCCCCCCCCCCTCCCCCCCGCGCTCCCCTGCTCCCGCCTCCCTCTCACCATCGCCCTCACTCGTATGTGTGTGTGTGGTGCATGTGTGTATGTGTGTGTGTCATCTCTCTCTCTCTCTATGGGGGAGGGGCGAGGGGAGGACAAATGAAGGGAGGATATGTTACACCGGCGAGCGAGAAGCCCGGCCCTGTCTCGCCTCTAGTGGCAAGGGGCGCGCGCCGTCTCGGAAGGAAGGATGGCCCTCGAGGGAGGGGCGGGGGGGGGGGGGGTCTTTTTTTTTTTTTGCCCTCCTCCTGCTGAGTATTATTATTACTATTATTGCCGGCTACTTGAGGGCCTTCTCGCGGTTGATGAAGCAGTTGATGGCATGATCCCACTGGGCAAGCCACTCGGTGGCACGGCGCCGATTGGCCTCGGCGGCACTGTCACTGTCATCCGAGCCCGGGCAGTCGGCCTTCAGGTGCTCCGGCAGGGCCGGATCGTCCGCATGGAGAGCGGGGGTCCGGTCGGCCACACCCTCGGCCCAGGCCCCGGCACACCGACCGCCAATGAAGCAGGCCCAAGCCGCCCGGCGGGACAGCTCGGTTAGCTGCTCCTCCGACAGGTCGAATGCCTGGCCCACCAGGCGATACTCGTAGGAGAGCTCCGCCCCGAAGACACCCCGGTCGTCAGTGCACAGGGCCACCGGATGATGGCCGTCCTCACCGCGCAGGGCCGCCGCCGCCGGGCCCGGCAGGTCCGTATGGTGCGGATGGCGCCGGCGCTCCGAGACATGGAAGTGCCAGTATCCAAAGTGGTGCTCGGCCTCCGAGGGGATGGTGCCGCACAGGCAGTTGGAGGACACGCAGAGCTCTGTAGGCCGGTCCCGATGGGGTCCAGTCGGCGGGTGTGTGTGCGTGTGTGCGTGCGTGAGAAGAGAGGGAGAGGGAAACACAGGGCAGGGGGGGGGGGCAGGGGATACACCGATGTGGGCATGTGCTCCCGGCTGGCTGCCCTGGTGAAGACGTGGGGCAGCTGCGCCGGGGCGCAGGCAAACGCAGCAAAGGGGGCAGGGAAACGAACCAAGGGGGACCCGCTCGCGGAGGGCGCGCTCGCACGTGGCCGGGCCCATGTACGTGCCGTGGCCAAGCCGGTCGACACCATCGTCCAGCATGATGTTGGTCTCGACATCTGCGCGCTCGGGAATTTCGGCAGCCTGGTGGGTGTCAAGTGGGCCCATGTGTGTGAGCAAGCGGGAGAGACACACACACAGAGAGAGAGATAGACAGGGGAGGGGGAGGCATGGGCCCAGTCAGCCGAGGGGAGGCTCGTGCGACTTGTCAGGCGTGGTGGGCGGCGTACGTGCAGGGTGACGGCCAGGCCGAGGTGCTTGGCCCGGCGGAAGGCCGGCCGGAACTGGTCATATTGTGACACCTAGGGGGGAGTTTTTTTTTTCCCCCCCCCATGCATGGTATGAGGAGTGGTAGGACGGTCAGTTGGCAACTCTTGAGGATGACACAGCAAGGAGGCACCTTGCGAAAGATTGCCGGAGATCCCCCCCATTCCCCCGCCCGTTCCTACTCCGAGAGGAGAAGGGGCCGAGGGGGGGGGGGGGGGGGAGATAGATGAGGAGACGGGAGAAGAAGGGGGAGAGGACCGTGTGCGCTGGAAGGGGGGAGGGGGAGGAGAGGCCCGTGAGGGGCGTTGTCAGGCTGCTCCCTCTGCTCCGAGGAGCAGGGAGGAGGAACGCCAGTCGGGCGTGTGGGTTTTCAATTGCTTCATGTCTCGCATCCGCCCGTTTGCACAGGGAGATCGAACCGGGGAGGCCACGCGTGGCGGCGAAGGGGAAAGGACAGTACCCCGGGGCGGGTACATGAAAGCCACCTTCAAGCCCCGCGTGAGCCTCTGCCAGTACAGTCGCCTCCACCCAGGGCGCGAAAGGGGGAGAAGGGGGTGGCCCACGAAAAGGGGGGTCCTAGCCCACCCCCCCCCGGGCGGAGGCGGTGCCTGGTGCACAGCACTCTTGGTATTATCCTGCCCTCAGCGGCTCTCCGAGGGCCGGGTTGTGTGGCTCTGTGCCATCACTCAAGGGAGGGGGGGAGGGAGGAAAGCGAGGCCTTACGTGCACCAGGCAGGATGGGGCCTGGAGGGAGAGGAGGAGGGCAGAGGGGCGGGCGGGGCGGGCTCTGCTGCGTGCGCGGGACACGAAGGGGAAGCCCCCCGCCAGGAAGAGGAGGAGGAGGAGGAGCTGCGACAAGAGGACAGCATGGGGGAGGGGGAGGGAACATACCGTCGGGGGGCCACACAGATCGACGCCAACCACGGCTCCCGGGTGGGCGCGAGCCAGACCGGCGGCGATGTCCACGATTTCCAGACCTTCCTCCGGCGAGTGGCGCCGGTCGAGACAAACAATCAGCCGAACGGTGATCGGCGGGAGCCCGTCATCATGGTTGGGCCCATGGGTGGCGGCCAGGCTGGCACAGGTGGCCTCCATGGCCTCGATGACCGTGTTCAAGTAGAGGGTGCGCCCGGCGATGCGCTGCGCATCGGCCAAGTCCCGGCCCTGGGCGTGGACATTCAGCTGCGAGGTGGACAGGACGCGCGGGGTGGTCCGAAGCTCCAGATACCGGACGCCATCCTCATAAAAGGCCTCGATGACCAGGGCCGTCGCGTCAAACACCCCGGCTAGGGTGGACGTGGCCGAGTAGACCACCGACCCGAAGATCGGGAAGAAGGCCTCCAGCGACAGGCCGCCGAGCGAGAGATAGCGCGAGAGGCCGCGCTCCAGGGCCCCGGCAGGGCCCCACAGCCGAGCCTCGGCGGTCTCCTCATCGGAGGCCCCCTCCGCCCCGGCGCCCGGGGTGATGCCGAGCTTCGCCAGGAGCTGAAGGCGGTCGGCATCCGGGGGCGGCCGGCGTCGCAGCAGAATCGAGATCTCATGGGCCGAGATCGAGCCATTCAGGTGCGCATGGAGCTCCACCTTCGGCAGGCGCTGGTAAAATCCGGGCGCGGCCTTGGGCTTGAAGCAGGCATCGGTGGTGGTAGTGGTGTCGGCGGTGGCAGGCGCATCAAGGGGAGCGGTCATCTTGGCGGTATATCCTCTGGCTGATGGCTGATGGCTGATGGCTGTGTGTGTGTGTGTGTGTGTGTGTGTGTGTGTGTGTGTGTGTGTGCGCGATTGTGCTGGCGGATGTGCGTTTGTAGGGGGGGGGAGGGGGAGGATTCCAGTGGAAGGAATGCAGGGCAGACCTCTCCCCTCGCGGGCTTTCGTGGGGGACCCTTTTGAGGTGAAGAGCACACCCCGCGCCATGCCGGCGCCCATGGGCGGAAGAGGGGGACATGCGGGGCCATTTCCCACGGGCCGTGCGTTACTCCGAGGAGCAGGCTCCCCCCGCATTTGGACGCACAGGCGCCGGGCACAGGGGCCCGGATGTGTGTGGCGCCCGGGCGGCAAGTGAACACTCGGGCTTCAGTTCACCGCAGTGGCCTGCGGGCAGGCCGCGATGGCTGGGGACGCACGTGCTGCACGCGTCGGAGCCCCCAGCCGCGGGGCCTCTCACTGCGGCATGCGTTGGAGGTGTGCGCATGTGTGTGTACGTTACCTGCCCACCCAGGCCTCCCTCATGTCCGCCCCCCCCAAGCTTGGGGCGGTCTTGCGCAAGTACACGCGTCCCTCCTGCCCCATGCTGCCCTCGAACCCAAGACGTGGGGCCCCTGCGCGGCGCGACTTTGGGGCCGGTCTTCCGGTGCCGCGGTCCGGGGGGACGGCATGGCCAATTCATGGGCCAGTCCGCTGGGAGCAGGGGCGTGATTGGCTTGCGGCATGACCAGGACCATGTCACACGACGTCCAACCGCTGGCACTTGGCGCGATCAGCGGCCTTCAAGGGCAGGCAACTCGATGGGCATGCGCCCCCCCGGCCATGAGAGGGTACTCTCCGCCTCCCCTCGCCTTCTCTTTCACCCTGCCCCTCTGCTACCCCTCCCCTCTTTCTCGCCCCCCCCCCCTCCCCTTCCCCCTGCCCCCTCCCGTCGCTCCTTCTTCCCCCCTCCTCGCGCTTGGGGTCTTCGGAATGTCCTCGTCCCGACAGCAGGCCAAGCGCCGGCACCGTGATGCCGAACAGGGCTGGCGGTCCGACGACGACGAGTATGACTACTCGGGCAACCAGCAGTCGGCTGGCGCTGGCTCGCATGCCACTGAGTCTGGTGCGTCGGCTCCCTCCTTTTGCATGAAGCCCCTGCAGGGCATTTGCCAGGCGCTAACCCTTTCCTCGGCCTCCTTTCTCCCCATGTGCCTCTCTCTCTCCCTCTCTCTTCCCCCTTGATGCGCCTGTTGCACATGGCACGCAGAGTCAGAGCCAGTGTCGAAACTCTCGACCCAGGACCAGGATCTGATAGACCGCCTGGCTTTCGAGGAGCGTCTGCGCGCTCGCGACTCTGCGGCCACTCGGTCGACCGGCGAGTCGGAGCGTGACCGGCGCGATCGCGAGGCCGCCCAAGAGCGCGACCTGATCGCTCGACTGGAGGCCGACGAGCGCCGGCAGGTGCTGGAGCGCTCGCGGCAAATCTCCCGGTCCAGCTACTTGGAAAAGCGCGTGTCGGACAAGTTGGCCGAAGCCGAGGCTCTGGCCCGGGCCGAGCGCCTGCTCTTCCGCGATCAGGACCTGACCGAGCGAGAGCTCCGCCAGCGAGAGCTCCGCGAGCGCACCTTCCGCACGGCCAGCGAGCATCACGAGCGAGTGGATGCCGTCGAGACGGGCTATGTTCTCCCCGACGGTGCGTTTCGTTTGTCTGGATGTTTCGCTCGACCGCCGCCGCTGTGGACATTGCTTCCACTCGATGTCCCTCCTGCTGCTTTTGCGATCGGCTTGACTGACGGCGTCTGTTCGCCGGTGTCGGCGCGACGCATCGCCCACCAGAAACCACTTACGAGCCTGAAAAGGACCTCAAGCGCGCGCGCAAGAAGGAGGCCGAGCAGTTCCGCCGGTACACTTCCACCGAGAAGGGAGACACCGGGCGGTCGGCCTGGGAAGATGAGCAGATTGGCAAGGGCCAGCTGCGTTTTGGAGCGGGCGCTGGTCGGGCAGGCCCCGGCAGCTCGGGCCCCGCCGGCTTGCTCATGTTGGATGACCTCCTTCAAGGCGAGGACATCGAGTTCGTTTTGGACCAGGTGGCCGGCGGGACACCGGCCGCCGAAAAGCTGACCCCGGCCGAGATCGCCGCACAGGAGGAGAGGCACCGCGGTACGTGTAGCCGGCAGCCAAAGTGGGCTACCAAGTTTCGGGTGCTTGTCTGACCGATGCGCCCCCTCGCCCTCACCCCGCCACCCTCCATCGGCTCCATCTTGTCCACCTCTGCCATTTGTTTGCCTGTCCGGTGTCTTCGGCTTCAGCTCGCACGATCCGGGAGCAACGCGAGTCCCTGCCGGCCTTCGAGTATCGGGAGGAGTTCCTCCGGGTGATGGAGCAAAACCAGGTCGTGGTGCTGGTCGGTGAGACCGGCTCCGGCAAGACGACCCAGATTCCGCAGTTCCTGCACGAGGCCGGATACACCCGGCGTGGGCGCATTGGCTGCACCCAGCCCCGACGCGTGGCGGCCATGAGTGTGGCCAAGCGTGTGTCCGAGGAAATGGGCACGCGCCTTGGACAGGAGGTGGGGTATTCCATTCGTTTTGAGGACTGCACCAGCGACCGGACTGTGATCAAGTACATGACTGATGGAATGCTTTTGCGAGAGTTCATGACCGAGCCGGTGCGCCCCCCCCCCCCCTCCTCCTCTCCTGCCCCCGATGGACGGGGCCCGATCGCTGACCTTCGCCTCCCTCTCCCCCTTTTTTTCGCCCTCGATGGCCGGACGCACACCCTTGCAGGACCTGAAATCCTACTCGGTCATGATCATTGATGAGGCCCATGAGCGTACTCTGCACACGGATATCCTCTTCGGTCTGGTCAAGGACATTGCTCGGTACCGTCCGGACTTGAAGCTGGTCATCATGAGTGCCACCATGGACGCGGACAAATTTTCGCGCTTCTTCGACGATGCCCTCATTTTCAAGAGTGCGCCACCGGTCCTCTCTCTCTCTCTCGCTCGCTCGCTCGCACCCACCCACGCATACTTATGTCCCGTTACCCTCCCCCCCTCTCCCTCACTCCTCCCCTCCGTCTCTTGTTCCCAGTGCACGGCCGCCGGTTCCCTGTGGACATTTACTACACAAAGTCCCCGGAGGCCGATTATCTGGATGCCTGCGTGGTGACCACGCTGCAAATCCACCTGACCCAGGGCCGGGGAGACATCCTGGTGTTCCTCACGGGACAGGAGGAGATCGAAACGGTGCAGGAGAACCTGCAAAAGCGCATGAAGGCTCTTGGGCCAAAGGCTCCGGAGTTGATCATCTGTCCGATTTATGCCAATTTGCCCAGCGACATGCAGAACAAGATTTTCGAGCCGACGCCGGCCGGCTCGCGCAAGGTGGTCCTGGCCACCAACATCGCCGAGACCAGTATCACCATTGACGGCATTGTCTTTGTCATCGACCCCGGCTTCTCCAAGCTCAACTCCTACAACCCGCGCACGGGCATGTCGTCGCTGCTGGTGACGCCGGTACGTGATCGTGTGTGGCCACACGCGGTTCCCCCCGTTGCGGCATCTCTCCCCATCCCAAGGGCCTCGTCCCGGCCCTGCCTGATGTCCTCTGACCACCTGTCTTCCCTCCTCCCCCTTCATTCCCCGGCCGGATCAGTGCTCGCGTGCCATGGTGAACCAGCGTGCAGGACGTGCTGGACGCGTGGGTCCCGGCAAGTGCTTCCGCCTGTATACTCGCTGGTCTTATGAGCACGAGCTGGAGGAGAACACCGTGCCGGAAATTCAGCGCACCAATCTTGGGAATGTGGTTCTCCTGCTGAAGAGTCTGGGTATCGACGATCTGGTCAACTTTGACTTCCTCGACCCGCCAACCCCGGAAACGCTGATCCGGGCTCTGGAACAGGTGCGCGCGTCCCCGGTTCCGTCTCGCCATCTGCATTTTCCCCTCGCCCAACTTGTTGACCCCCTTCCCCC